AAAGCGTCTCCCGGAAAAAGTAGATTAAAGACCACTTATTCGAGGCTCGTTTTCGACTTCCTTTAGGATCGGCCATAATTACAAGTCCAGTCCCCTGGCCGCTCAAATTAGAAGGTGATAATCACGGTATCGCATCGGGACATCGTAAATCGAACGGTTCCTGTTCCCCCCACTTCGAGTTCTCACGGTGAACCGAACCTTTGTCTCGGTTCTACTGATCGATCTCTCTTCCGGTATCGATATTGTCTCGATCCGATTTTTTATCTCAATATAAAATACTTTTATCCACCAGCCTTTACAGGATTGTAAAAATCGCGATTCTGCGGTTCGGAATTTAACGGGTAACAAATTTTATAAGACGTATACTCGATACTTCTTTCCGAATTGGCCACCGTCCTCACGGCACGGTGGCTGATAACAAGACAGGATTTCCAGGTGTCCCTTGTTCCTTCCATAACTCAAGGTGTCGATAGGCTCGCCGCGAAATAAGTATCGGGCATTCTCGCAGCTCGGCGGATTGGTCACGCGCCTCTACGCGTCGTTAATGGCCTGCAGCCGCGGCGTTAACGAACGACAACATTCTAATTGATTCTCCGCGTCGTTTCACGCGGGATCACTGCGCCGATTCGCCGTTAACGACGAGCGACGTGTCTCCTCTTCCAAGCGATTATCGCGATGGGACATCGGGATTCTTTTCTTTCTTTTGTCCGAGAAGAGGATCGCGTCACTGGCAACTCTCAAACTGAATTCAATTTAAAACGATAATAAATCGTACATAATATATAATATGATTCGTTTTATTATTTTATCACGATTATTGCACGAGCCTGTTCATCACTACTTCTGATTATTTTCATATATGAAAGATCTCGTTCTGCTTGTTGCATGACTCGTATCTTGCGAAACAGATGTTTCCCTTCAGACGTAAATCGAATGTCATAAACACATTGAATGTGATAGGCAACTATTCCAATTTAAATTGATCGTTCAATAAAACAGCCGTACTTCCTTATGTTCGAAAATCGTCAAACGGTTTTGTTCGCTGATTTCACTGATGAACCGAACAATATTTATCGAGCACTTCTCGTGTAAACGTCTTATGAAAGGTTGCAAGCCTTATTAGACAGGATTGAAACGAGATACGGTACGACGCCTGCTTAACACTCCATTATTACCCTATTACTATCTAACCCGTTACGAAGTAATACATAAAACAAACTTTCTCATTTGAAACGAACGTTACGTACGATTTGTCTCCGTCTTTTATCAATGGATTTATTGATCCGTCAATTACCGGGAATGAAGTGTTAAGAACTCGGTGTGAGGTCCTCCTACCATGGCTATCTATGTTCGCGGACATTTTTACCGACGTTAAGTGCAAAGGAAAGTACGTATACGCGATTCGAAAGCGTTTAAATTACCCGATCATTCCACCTAATTGATTATTCATAACCGCGATGCATTTGCATATAGGCAGACACGCGCAATTCAAATAGAACTGCGATAAAGAAGTGCGAGCAATGATCTTTCATTGAGTTAACACGAATTATCATATTGACTCGTCCCTCGACAATTTGCAGAACGTTATTTTATCAAATAACACTATTAATCAAACTCTGAGATCGATTCACCTGATAAATTACCGATACGTAATTCTCGTATTTTACACTTTGTAACGTGGGCACGTAATTTTTCCACGAATCGTTTTCTAAACCCGAAGACTCGTACCTTATTCGAATTCATTAAAACCGATCGCGTCGGCGACGAACAAAAGTAAGACGAAGCAAACCTGCAGCCCGCGCTTCCCTTGATGTTTTCCAAGGTATAATAAATTTTCGCACAAAAAATCGGATCTCCGCGGAAAACATCTCCTCCCGAGATTGCCAATAATATATCGGCTACCAATTCCTGCTCGCCGCCTCGATCGTTTAATCACGGCCACGAGTGTTTTTGCGCTGGTTCCATGGAATCGAGGGGAAGCTGATTTTAATCGCGGAACGACACGCGCTGGCCATGCTTCTCTTCAACGTTTCAGGGGACAGGAACCCATCGATGCTTTTCTTTCCTTAATAAATTTCCCGCAACAGTTATAAATACGTGCGAGCAGACGTCGAGTCAAATTACTCACACCTGAAGCAGTTTATCGCTATTAAAGCTGGCTGCGAAACGAGAGTAAGAGTAGCTCATCATAATTATCTGATGAAAATTCATAATACTACCGCGTCACTTTGTGAGAGAGAAAGAGAGAAAGAGAACGAGATTACTATGTTTCATGCCGCATCCTCGATTACGTACGTAATCGTATTTTGTACGGTTCTGTTCTACGCGTGATCAGTAATACAACGCAGGATCATCAATAATCCCGTTAATGCGATCTCGATCGACGATCTCGACTTTTCCGCGACGGCTACTCGGGCAACCTAATCACGATCCTCTCCACCGGTCAATATAAAAAGTGGAAGCATCTGCAAGCAATGAAACAATCTATTAATTTCTAGGCATTGCTATCTAATTGTGCAGTCGGCGATTTATCAGGAAGGGAAAAGCGTTCGACAAATTATCCGCGTTGTGCCTCCGGGGCAGGCGGTGTCTTTTGTGAAAAAATCTGTAATTGCAGATTAGTAATTTATAATATAACTGATGGCCGGAATCCGACGCGGGGCGATCCTGGGCCATGAGATACCGACCGATAGAGGGTTGCAATCTGCTATGGCTGATTTCTCTTTCGTCGTCGTGTGTCACGTATCGGGCAGCCGCTGTCAGCCGCGGCCTGTACGGAAAATTACAGTACTTCAGTTAATGAAGAATTTCAATCTGCCCTTTCCCTCGTTTTGCTCCGTTTCGTTCGTCGCCGTACGCTTCGGGCGCGAACACGATTATCATTACGCATACTAAAAAGCTGTATCAATGCGAGCGGGACTCTACACTTTGCGCTAAGTAAATGTCACTGCTCGTATTAGCGACAGGATTTCTCTGCGAAATTGAGACATAGACAGTGAGATAAACGCGAGCTTACACGCCCCTTTCGTTCCACTTTACACTCGCGGTGCAGATTAAAAAATGAAACCAAAGTCCTAATAAAGTTGCGAGGGGAATAAAATCGAAAAATTACGAAGATTGTCGGTTTCACGAAGACACGTCAGTTCACGTTAACAAATTGCTACTCCGTTCCGTCCTGTCCTATCCCGAAGGACGTGTCTCGTTGCTCATCTTCCGGACTTCATCGAAACGTGATTCACGATTCCAAATGTACATCACCCTTTTATACACGATCCTTGTATTAAAGCCTAGAAGAAGCTTCGAGTATATTAAATACTGATCATCTGACTTTCCTCTACGTTCTATGAAGAGACACTCTGCGCATTGCATATCTTGTAATCTATACTAAGACATGTGCAAGGATGCAGGCAATTTTAATTAGTAGCATTCGTGATACAGTGGCCGAGCCACCGATTTATTTGATCGCGGTTACGCGACACCAAAAGGTACTAAAAAAGGGGTTGCGATTAACGTGCACTGTCCCCAGCTAAGAAAATTTACAAGTCGCAGGTGTCGTGTGGCTGGGAATCGCGCCGCGTGCTTCTGATCGCATGTCTAATCGTAACGACAGCGTCGCGTCCACCAGAAACAACCGAGCAGATAAGGAATAGCGCTTAGAGGAGGTAGTGATAAAGGGGAACTCGCACTTGGAACATGAACCTGAAAAAAGGAATTGAGAAACGAGTTGAGATACCGTTTCCCTTTGGCAAATACGCGTATCGAATCGAGTTTATAATTCCTCGTGACTTGCTCAGTTCGTGGATTATAATTGCAAGTCTAATTGCAAATATTGTTAAACGAATACCTTGCTCTGAGTATTTCAAACAACTTGATAATTCAACATAATTTTTATAATTGATGGAGAAACTGAATCATAAAAGTGAATTAATGACTCGATCCAATTTTCTACGCGTGAACAGAAAAGCTTCTGAGAACGCGTTTCGTACCATCTAGTATCGAAAATTGATAATCTCGTTTCAGCTACCGTAAAGCAACAGCTTGTCTCATTGTTCACCGTCGTTTTGGTTTATTCTGTTCATTCGCATTCACCCCTTGTCCGCCTGACGTGTTTCTTCCATCAATTATATGCACCTTGTTAATAGAATAGGTATACCGATACATAGATATGCGTGCATCTGCATGCATGCATAATTAGATTTCACTGTGAAGCAAGCACTCGGTACCGTCAGTTTTTCAAAATTGTTTCTGACGAGGCAATTTAGAAATAATGGGTTTGAACAAATGTTTTACTAAATGCGATGCAGGATATAATTTACGACTTGTCATCTTAACAACAATCAAGTGTCGTGGAACATGTATTTAAATTCACTTGTGGCACCGTGTATTCTCGAATAAGAATCATTGAAATCTCTCGTACACAGTAATAGAATCTCTGTTACGTCTTGTGCTTTTGTAGACTCTTTCGATCGATCTTTAACTGAATCGCCGATGCCTTGAGGAATATTATTACAATTTTATTTTTAACCGAACCGAGGATTAATGACCAGCGGCCAGTATGTGCAGCAAACGCGACCGCGCGTAACCAATGGTAACGCGAAGAGACAGTTATTATACTAGGTATCTCTGTACGATGTTATCGATAATTAGGGAGCCAAGTGGTTTTCCAACTGGCAGAGCCGTCGACGATTATTATTGAACCCTTAGCGTGTTCCGATTCCCATAATCGGTACCCTGAGATGGGAGACTGATTTGCTTGGAAATTGTTATCTTCAATGTTTCGTTGCACAGTGGAAAATTGGGATGATCGTACCCTGAATTTCATTTAAGAACAAGTTCGCTCGTCGGAATCTTATTGTTAGAGTAAACAAATTACTTATACCGGGACTCGTACGCGTGTACGTCTCATCAAAACACGCTAGAATACAATTGCATTCGGAGAAATATTGTATGAGAGCACGGCGAGCGTTTAATTAATCGAGTCTTCTCGTTCCTTGTTTCAGCGATATTTCAACGAATGTCCGTGTCCAGGGGTCAACTGAGGATCCAAGGTGTCGCGACCTGCCTGTACCTGTGCATGGATTCCTGCGGTCTTCTTTACGGCTCGGTAAGCGAACCTCGTCCTTTGGAAAAAGTTGCCCGGCCATTCGATAAAATCGGCTCGTAGCACGCCTCCAACAGACGGCCGGGGCATACCACGGTGAAAGAAAATCAAACATCCACGAGTGCCACGCGACGTCCCGAGCTCGCCTCTTCTTTCCGCCTCTCCCTTATTCCGTTGATACACTATCGGTCTCATCTAAATTACTGAAACGCAGCCGTCTCTCGAACCGCTGCGCTAATCATCCGGTAAATGATTCCGTTTTAACGAGCACCGTGCTCGGGCGGGGAATGAGGAGTTCGAGAAATGAGTCGACGGATTCCGTGGCCGGCTTTTTTTCTTCAGATCTTACGGTATCTCATAAAGTCGTTAACAGTTTTCTTTGTTTCTAAAAAGGTATTTCGATAAGGGATAAATTACATTAAGTAATTCGAAGCTTAATTGATAAAAATTTGAAACGCTCGTGTTTTCATTTTTTAATTAACAATGTTTTCAACAAAATGATCAAGAATCGTCGAGTCATAATAAAACTTTTTCAACGACAAATGCGAACGTTGGTTGCCTCTTACGGTGTGCATCCAGCGCGAAATCAAGGGTGACAAAACGGAATTGTGGTCAGCCGGCGCGATCAATTTCATCGACGTTTTCGAGACTTAATTAAACCCGATGACGTTTGATCGAAATACAGGAGCGGCCGCGCGAGCCTGAGAAACAGGTTTAGCCCTTAACTACTATCGTTCCCTGTTTCACTCCTCTTTTTCCCTCCCTCTCTCTCTCTTCGTCGCGTCGCCGTAGTAACTAGTACCGAACAAAAGGAATGCGTTCAACCGGGGTTGATACACTCTTGACTGTGTACCATTTCGCAGGAGGATACGTTTAATGGTCGATTAATCTTGTTACTTGCACGATTTTTCCCGCGTCCAGTCCGCCGCGACGCGGTTCGTGTAACGAGGGAATTGCCTATTGCGATTCGATTTCGTCGGCAGGGGCGATTTCCAACCGTTCCACAACCGTACGGACATACCGCACGCATCGAACTCTTCCACCCGGGAAATTAATACTTCGTACCAGAGATTAATTACCACGATTCCGTGTTTGAGTTAACTTCAGTTGATCGGTCTTCCGAACGATCTATGAAATAGTGCCTCGCGTTTCTTGACTTCCTCGCTACTAGGTTGCGCGCGTCAGAATTATAGAAAGTTTAATTCTGTTAAACGTGTACTATTTATACAAATTCTGATGAATTCCCACTATTTTTATTAATTCAAAATTGTTTATTAAAATAACAAATTTCTTTATAATGCTTTTAAGTAAAATGTGTTAGAAGTATATTTTATCAGTATTTCATCCAGTAGATGGATTTCACAGATACTTGCTCGAACTAGTCTTGCTAACATTTCTGAACGAACAATATAAATTAGTCTTGGCATTACAAGTTGCAAAGGAAATCGAAGGTGCGCCAAGGCGATACGCAGATATGGAGTGAAAAAGATTATGGAGTCGAACTGGACCAACTAGATATCGAACCCCTCTGTTAGATCTCGTGTTTCGATTTGAACAACGTATTTTCTATCTATCTCTCTGCGAAGTGTTCGCCTTGGCAGTTGACAATTGAAACGAGAATCGATCCGACGCACGCTACGTAGATTGAGAATAAAGACGTGGCGAAACGATTCAGCTGGAGGCTGCTCTTGTTAAGTGAAACGCGTTTCATTAAAATGGCCCGGCGGTACCAAACCGTCGAACAAGCTCGTATCGTATATCTGGTTGAAACGTGCCCCGGACGGACATTTCAGTTAATAAAGATCGCCATGCATGTGCGTGCCGGCGCTTCCAAGTATCATACTTATCCCATGAACAAAACTAGTTCGTTATTCTTATGTTTGCGCTGCATTTACGCTCGAGTATCATTGTCTCCCATTTAACTCGTTCGCAGTCAGAGCCGCGCATTGTAATTTACGTACAATCATCACACCTGTTAAACTTGAACCACTGTGAATTATACAATACTCAAATCGATAGAATCTAATATTATGCGTACACACGATTTATCGAAACTCGTGTTATCAATCCAAATGCAACAAGTTGTAGTACAGATGTCAGCGAGACAGAGTGGCAATTAACTTAGTACACGGGTTAGTCCCAGCATTCTCAGACGTCCCGGTTGCCCCCGTTTGGATTGTCCGTATCGGAATGAAGAAATCACACACGAACCGCGATAAATTTCCGTGCGTCCAATTTACATTCTCAGCGGGACCGCCAGCTATGTATACCTACGGAGAGGAATTGGAGAATAGTGCACCGCGAGGTTGCACCGCGAACTCGAGACCGACGAACAGCGTATCTGATAGCTAATCTACATAACACGAGCAGCTAGGCAAACATTTCATTGCTGGTGCTACGCGCTCGGTAACAGATTAATGCTCTCTTTGGTCGGCTTGTCAGGTGAACCGTGCACCGCGACGGTATACGCTAATTTCTATGCGTTTGCCATGTGACTTCGTCGATTTACCTACCGACACTCCTGCGTAAAACCTCCGCCCACACTTCTATTTTTTACTGTGACTACATGAAGTTCCAATTTTATGTTGATAAAAAATTATTGCATTGTACGTAACATTAATTTATTTATCCGCTAACCGGTAAAGTAATTCTGAACCACATTCCACGTAGTTGTACACAAAGTGCACGCGATGGGAAAGGGGATTTAACGCCTCCGTGAGCATGGAAACCTGCGGATCATCAGCTTTACTGACGTCTCGCGTTTTGATCGTCGCGCAAGGTGGTCGCAGTGTTTTTCACACACTTCTTCGTCTCGAGCGGTCCGAGTAACAGAAATGACTGGCAGCAAGTAGTGTTGCGTGCCGGATTAATTACACAGATTAGGTTAACTAGTTCTCAGTACAGGTTTCGTTTTGCCGTAGAATCTAGCTTGCAGAATCCGTAATTCCAAATGAGAAAAGTTAGAAGTTATTTATCATCGATTTAAAGAAGAAATTTGTTCGAAATACGTAGTTTTAATTCTGTGGGGATCTGAGGAGACGTTTTTCTCTGTTTAACTTAGCATCGTAAATAATTGTCGTAATCTGAACGATAACATCGAAGTCAATGAGAACGATCTTGAAACATCTTACTCGGGCAATGTTGCTTCGCGACGAGTAACCGTTTGGTAGGTACTTAGCCATGTTCACTCTTCCGAGCGACCACGGGATCGTGTGATAATCACAGGCTCGGCACCTCGTAATTTCATGACAAATAAGTCGTCGCGAAAGCCACAAGACCACCATATTGATCCGATCAACCGTGAAGTCCTAACTTAATTACAAGCGATTCGCGCTTAAGTGGCCGCATCCCCTTCTTCGGACGAATCGACGCGGAGGGTGAGAAAGATTGCGCCACATCGACACGGATCGTAAATTATAGTTGTTAAACCGTGTCGGGAGCCAAACGTCGGTTAAAGGATGCTCTGCGGTTCAATCAAACGTGACCAGAGACTCAATCAAAGATATATATGTACTTCGTTCTCGATTAAAAATCTATCGAACAATCGTTTTATAACTGTTTCGGTCTTCCTTGTTTTATTTCATTCAATACGTTCATAATTGCATTTATTCAAATGAAATTAATAAGTGATCTGACGTCTATACTTCCTCACGACATTACAGAGTAAAAAGGAAATCGATTATGTATGAAAGATGGTTTTCGTCGTTTCAATGACCAAAAATTGAAAATTTTTTGTTGTTGTTGTTTATTAGCAATGTTCTTCCGATGTCCGATTTCTTTTTAAAAAATGCGTTTCTAAAGTGCATAAACTTTTTGGATTGACTGTATAGCCAATACATCCTTAAATTAACACCGAATTAAGACACCCTGTATTTTCGTTCGCGAGAGATCTCCAAGGCGATTACACAACTCGCTAGCCAGAATCCGGACACTGACAGAGTCTAAGATATGGAATTATAAAGCTCGACCCGGGACCCATCCGGGGATCCGAGGATCGATCCGGGACCTGAAGGGTCTATAAATAGCAATTATCTCCAGAACGCGTGAATCGCTCAATTAAGGTGAAACCGAGCCCGAAGACGCGACGCAAACCAATCGTCCCGGGCTGGCAGTGTCTTTGAGGTAGATTAAATAATCGTGGTTATAAATTCTCGCGTGATAATCGCAAGCGTGTTCCATAAACCACGCCGTCCGGAGAACAGCGGCATGCCGCGGGAGTTCAAGGGGGCCGAGCGTGAAATTCTGGCGTAATTACCAACGCCTCTCCCAGAGAAAACACATAATTATACTTTCGGGTCGAGAAAGAGCCGCTGGAATACCTCCGAACGCCAGCCTCCCCGGCGTTTTAACAGTGACTACAAAAAGTGTTGGCACGTACGTGCATCCTCCGGCGAGATAATTTTTTATCAACCTCTGCGTTTCACTTTCACAATAGTCAATTTTAACGGACAGATGAATACGTTAGTGAACAATGGGATATTCAATGGATTTGAATATTATTGACCGACATTCTTTGGAAATAATTTCCGTAGCCACTACGTCTATTCTAAAGGCTGGATCCTTGTTAGCATAGCAATGTATTTGCACGGGCTGATTTTTATTTCATGCCACTTGATAAGAGGCTCTTTGATCCTCTTTTGTAAAAGAGATCTAAAGTAATGAGATAGGATTGAGATTGAAATTGTGAACGTAAGTACACTGGAAGTGAAAGCGGCTGTCAGATGTCTATTTCACGATGTCAACTTTCAGGCTTGTTGCTATATGTTAACGTTGAATTTCCAATACGTAAAAAATAATGACTGATAGAATCAGAAAGACAAGATCGACAGAATCAAGATTGATAGGATCGACGATCGAGCATACGACGAAATATAAAAATTCTAATACTACCATCTCATTATCATATTTTAGTCAGCAGTTGTCATCCTCGAATTAAATTCTCATAACCGAGCTGAATGAATAATTCTCGTAATTGCCTAATACTTTTCGCTGTCTTGAAGAGC